AATATACGTAAATGTAAGAGAAAATGCAGACAAGATATATGAAATAAATAATAAGAAACATAGATCATATCCAGCATAAAGGATCAAATGCAAAGGCTCAAGATCCAAGTAGAGAATTTCAACCCTAGAATTCTATATGTAGTCAGGTTATCAGCTGAGTTTAAGAAACATTTTCAGACAAGAAAAGCTTCAAGAAACTTATATCCCATTTAGTATTCCTTAGTGGTTTACTTGGGGATTGACTCCCACAATATGAATAAATAAACCAAAAGAGAAACATAGGCTCTGAAAATAGGGAACTCAACCAGGGATATTATAAAGGGAAATCCTACTGGATATCAGCTAGGATAGGGATGCTGGAAGAAAATTTCTTGTGCAAAAAAATAAAAATCATTAAAAATCCACATAACGAAAGGAAATGCCATCAAATGCTGTACTTAACATTGTGGTAAACAGTCAGAGTAATGCAAACGCTGTATGGTTTGATAGGTTCAATTGCAGTATAAAATTATAATCTACCTATATATTGTAAAAGTAAAGATGACAAAAGTTAAAAAGTAGAAATGAAAGAATAAGTTTGTTACATTTCATTTGGTAAATTTGTCTAGAATTCTCCAAACAAGCTATAGAGATATAAATATGTAAAGTTGCAAAGGAAACCAAAGGAAGAATTAACACTAGGGACACAACTGCAGAATGAGAGAGAAAGTGAGAAAATAGGGGTGGCTGTCAGTGGCTAACACTACTTTTCCATGGTGAAAAGTCAATAAATGTTGCCATAATTAACCCACATAAGAAAAAGAAACAAACGTATTACTTAGCAATATAGACAAAATACCTTTTGAAAGTGGTAACATGGGAGGAGTGAGTGAGTTTAATAATGGAATGTTGTCTTCATTATGTGTATTAGACGTCATTTTTAGTATCATGTTTGTGCATTCCCTTTATATTTTAACCACACAGAAAATTTTGAAAATAAAATTTCATTAGAATTTTAAATGGCAATGATGTTATAGTCTCTTTAATATTTTTTAAAGATTTATTTATTTATTTTAGAGAGAGGGAGGAGCAGGGGAGGGCACTGAGCACAGTGCCAGGTGTGGGTTTTGCTGTTACTACCCTCAGATCATCACCTGATCATCACCTAAGATCATCATAGTCTCTTTAGATCTGATAAGATGAACTGCTGATTTTATATATTCAAGAAAAAATTATATTTGCAACTTTGTTTTTCAAAAGTCCCTTCTTCAGTGACTATTTTGAGTATTAATCATCTTTCGCATACAGTATAGTACTGCAATTAACAGAAACTTTTCCATTTTATCATTTTTTTGAATTTGTCATCTTATATGTAACTTCCAATGCCTCATTGATTCCATTATCCGCCTACCACTAGGTGTCTTTTTCAACGAGTAACTTATTATTTTTATTCTTCACATCACAGGCAGGTCACATTTTCATTCAATTTTGCAAGTCTTGTTAGGTATGAGGGAAACAGACAAAAAGAAAGCTCCTATTTTCAATAAGTATTATATTCTAACAAAGATAATTATTTAATTCCCAAATTCACTGGTTATGGTACAATACCTCTTTTCTTATAATATGTTCCTTTTGAGTACCCCCTACCCCTACATTGCCCCTTGAAACTTGGTCCTTCTTGGCTGAGTTGAGTTTTTTTGGTTCTGTCCCATCTGGCTAGTTAATCTCAGTTCCCTTAACTTGATCAATTTCCATGATTCATCTGCTTTTAAAATGTAGGTTCCACTTTTTTTTTTTTAATCTATTTGACACATTCTCCCTTGGTGATCACTTAGTCATTGACTTTGTTTATTTTTTTCTCTTCTAAGTGCCTGACCTACATATAAGCATTAGGATGTGCCATGGACATGGTAAGGTTGACTTATTAAAACTGAAGTTCCTTTCTGTCCCCTATTCTCACTCAAATTGCTTCTTATGTCCTAAGATAACACAATACTTGGCATTAGTGTAGGGTAGGCTTGTTAAAACACAGACTGCTAGAATTTGTAATTCAGAGTTTCTGATTCTGTAGGTCTGGGGTGAAAACTTCAAATGTGCATTTCTAACAAGCTCTCCAGTGATACTGGTGGATTATGCATCCTGACTGCTCCTTGAAAACCATTGGCACACAGCAATCAGCTAATATTTGTTAGATCAATAATTATTATAAATTGATTAATGTTTGAAATATATACTATAGGTTCAAAAATCAAATTCAACTGTATGATTAAGTGAAAAATATTCATAGAACTTCAGTCTGAAAGAGCAAAGAAACTCATTTGGTGTAGTAGTGTCTTACTGTAGACTAATAAACTAAAGTCTAAAGGGATTAAATGATTTGTATGAGGAAAATTAACTAGATTCAACCAATCCTGACTTTCCATAAAAATAACTTTATATGTAACATTTGTATTTAGCTAATTAAGGATTAGTTTTCTAATTCAAGATAGATACTGAGCAGATTTCTTGTTTCTCTAGATGAATAGGCCTTTGCACATAGCCATAGATCTCATAAAAATGAACTGAAATACTACTAACTTGCAATGCTGTCTCCCACACCCACAGAAATGCATGCAAAGGACAGAGAAATCTAGTATCCTGGTTAATTTTAAAGATTCTCACCAATCCAAGCAGTGTTTGGGCAAGCAATTTTTTGAGAAAAATAAAGAGATTACTTGACCCCTACTGATCCTGAAACAAGTTGAGTCCTTTATTTGTCTAGAACTGTCATCAATGCAGTAAGTGTTAAAACTGAGGCAGTCCTATGCTCTTAAGCTGTTTTATTGTTTTCCCAAGTTTGAATGTTTAACAGGATTCACCAGACTTTACTCATATGAGGCTTTTGTTTAAAGGCAAAGGATACAGTGCTTTGGAGAAAGAGGATGCAGACATGCATCAAAGACCCAAGAGCCTTTCCCCAGCATGATGGGCTTCATCTTTAGGCATGTGGAACACGCAGAGTTTCTGACTTGAGCCACCAAAATCTGTGCAAGAGCCTTGGATTGGCTTCAGGAGCTCAAAAACAAAGCTCTCAGTAGCTCTTTAAATAAGTTAAAATAGTCAAACCAGATAGACTGGTTGCAAATCATTAGTGCAAATGTTAAACTTAGGGTTTAAGTCTGGGTGAAGGCTCAGACCCTAAACAATACATCAAATATCCCACTGCCCTCTTTTTTTGGCTAAGAGTAAAACTCAGATGCACAGGTGTCTCTAGAAATAAAGGTAGAGTTTTCAACCCAGCTGCAAATCAACTTTATCCTACACAACAGTCTTTTAGAGGTCACTGAAACTTCTTACTTTCAGACCAGCTGCATGAGGGATCAAGCAGACAGACTCCCAGGTCTCTAGAAGTGGGTTACCAAGATTAGGTAGGCATACAGATTCGAGTTCTTCAGGATGAACTAGCCAATCTTTCTCAAGTACATGCTGGAAGCCACTTATACACAACGACAGTGACAGCATTGGTGCCTAAATTTAAAATCCTTAAATCATAATCAAGTTGCTTCAGAGAGAGAGATATATATAGGCCTGCAGGCTTTAAATACTTGGGGGACAGTCTGGTGACCGAATAAAGGAAGTCTCATGACAAAGTTGTATTTCCTTTAAGGATACTAATCTCCAAAAGGGAATATCTTAAAAATAAGAATGTTCTGTGAAAGTAAGGTATGTACAAAAAAAAAAAAAAAATGAAGAAATGACATAGGTTGCTGTTTCTGGTTAGATATATGTGCTATTGAGTACTAATCACAGCTTTGCTAATTACAGACAAGGAATTGGGGACCTCTATCTTCTAGTAAAAGCTAAGTTATCAGGAAAAGATGTGAGAAAATAAATTTCCATGTGTTCTCCAAAACACATCAAATGTGTTTTGTTTAAGAGAAGAATCTTATTCCAGTATGTTTATCCAATTCTGGTTCCTACTTTTTAATTTGTATTCAGTTTTATCATCTGTACAATGAAACTCATTTGGGGGGCTCTAATTAATTTTTTCAAAGTATACACTCATGATCACCTGCATTTGCAGCATCAAGGAAATATTTCTCAAACTTAAATGTGTATGGGTCATCTGACGATCTTTTTTTAACATGTAGACTCTGATTTCATAGGTCTGGAGTAAAGCCTGAAACTCTTCTAATAAGTTCCCAGTTAATTTCTACGTGCCTTTTTGAATACTAGGAATTTATTTTCAAAGTGTATATATGTGTGTGTGTGTGTAAATTCATAAAAGCAGATACATCAAGGGAATCAATCTCAGGAGTTAAGTCTGAAAATCTGCATTCCCAAATGCCAACCTCACCCCAAGTTTTAGAAACAATCAAGTTTAAGAACTACTCGGTTAAGTGAATTTAACATCTAAGTTAAGTTTTAGATATAAAATTACATGGATCTAGTCTCACCCTGATATTCTCTTAAGTCCTAAATTAAAGAGTGACATATTCTCTTACTTTATAGGGCATCTGTGTTGCTTGAGTATAAGACTTGGAGACAGCTTCCAAGCTCTCTGTCACTAAATTCAAATTTTAATTAGGTCTGACCTTTTGCTGTAAGGTCTAAGATAAAACCTTTTTTTTCTACCCAAACTTAGGAGATTCTGTATCCAGGTGAGGGGCCAAACCTCAACTTCATACTTCTTTTATAACAGAGCTAAACAAAAAGATTCCAAAAAAATAACATCACATTTTTTTTTTCTTGTACCATCACTGGCTTTTCTGGGGTGACACTCTTAATTTATTCTGAACTGCTTTCATGCCCCTCCTCATCTCAGTTCTTTACAGGAAATGTTTCCCTAAAGAAATTCCTCCCAGAGTTTGTGAGGCAGAGTAAATACATTATATCCTTGTACATTGTTTCCTTCCTCTCAAATGATTTTTTTCTTTTTATTTGTTATTCAAATGTCACTGAATTTGGCACAACCAAGTAACATGATGATTCCTCATACAGTCTAACAATGTTTTCTAATTCCCTTTTTCCTTTCCTCACAGTACAAACAAGTGGAACAATACATGTCATTCCATAAGTTACCAGCTGATATGCGTCAGAAGATACATGATTACTATGAACACAGATACCAAGGCAAAATCTTTGATGAAGAAAACATTCTCAATGAACTCAATGATCCTCTGAGAGAGGTAAGATTTGTAGTCCTTGATCCCCATGGTATATGGTCATGGCTTCTTTTCTTTTCTTTTTTTCTTTTTTTTTTTTTTTTGTGGCAAATCTTCAAGTCCATGTTATGACACTACACAGAATAAATGTTGATACATATATTTTGCCTTTATTCTCCCATATGTTCCCCTGTATACAGACTTATTGAAATTATTGAAAAAGTACTGGAAAATTGTTCTTCTAATTATGATTGTCAGAACAGTTTTATCCTCTGTATCCCTAGTTATGAGTCCTTCATGTGGCCTCATTGTCTACATCTTCCACTCTGTCTCTCATATTTACTAAACTGTTTCTGTATCTTCTTTTTGATTTCTCCTCCCATGTTCATTTCACCTGTTTATTCCTTAGGCCCTGATTACAGACTAACCTGACTTGTTCAAGTAATTCGTTTCCTCCTATTTCTTTTTTTTTCCTCCTATTTCTTCATTAAAACACTTCAACTTTGGTAATCACCTGTTTGCCATGTATCTTCTTTCCATCCCTCCCTAGAATTCTTCTCTCTGCCCAGGAGAATGCTTTGGTCACTCCTAGATGAAAGAATATTGGCTTGATTGTTTGTATTTCTTACAGTGCTTTTCTTTCCCTTCTTTCTTTTACTACCAACCTTCTCAAAAGATTTCTGTGTAATCATTACATTGTGGTTTGATCCCCACTTCTTGAGCAAAATCATTTCCTGGAAAGTTATCAGTGACCTGTTACTCATCAAAAAACCTTTATCTGTCAGGTTGTATTGGTACTTCTTAAGCTGTTAACAAAACACACATCCTGAATCTCTTTTTTGGGCTTCCTTGACCCTGAACCGTAACTAAGCCGTTGGCTTTCATTTCTGAATTTGTTTTTTTTTTTTATTTATTTTTTTTCTTGCACCTTAATTCTATAAATTTTGAGCTCTAAGTTCTTGCTAATATGCTGTTTTCTTAAAATCTACATGATTTTCCCCTAACCCTATATATATGTGCGTGTAGTAAGCTATGTAATAGGGTCATTATCTTCCATCACTAAACCATTTTTCTTTTGATGTCTCTCAGTAAATGTTTTAGTCATTCTCTCAAGTCATTTTGAATGTAAAATTGTAGTCCTTTTTTGTTTTTTTGAATCTTTTTCTGTTTTTCCTGTCCAATCACCAAGTGCAATCAATTCACTGCAGCAGTACATCCCACACCTGTGCCCTTGTTTCCTTTTCCACTGCTGTTACGCGAACCTTAGTCCTCTCACATGGACAATTGGAACTGTCTCTTTAGTTTGTCTTCCAGCCTCTGGGCTATTTTCTCTAACTACCATTTAAAACATCACTGCCAGATTTTTTTTTATTTATTTTTTTTTATACAAGCTACTCATTTCTCTACTCGGTAACTTTCACTCTTTACATACAAAGTAAATCAGATTTAGCCTCCCGAGGCTCATATTCCAGCCCTTCTGTGCTCTGATCCTGGCTAACTTTCCAGCTCTATCCTCCCTGCTGCTCTACATGTTCCAAAGTGGCCTACAGCCAAACTGTGCAACTTGCTGTTTTGCAAAAATCAATTATAATTTCTCACCTTACATCATATGTTTTTTCAGAAATGTCTGTCATCTGTTAGCAAAACCTAGTTCAAATAATATTTCTTTATTTATCACTTTTGCTTTTCTTTTCCAGGCTAGGTTTCATTTCTCTTTTCTATGACCCCTAATGAGCAGAGTCCACAACTCTTCTGTGCCCCTTATCCATTCTGTCTATGCTATCATTAGTGTTTCTTATTTGTCTTCTCCTCTTTTGTCTTGAAAGTTTCTTAAAAGCAAAGGCTTATTTATAGTTTAATTTTTTCTTGAAATTCCTAGTACATGTAGCATCTATTAAATGTTGAATAAATATTTTCATTGCAACTAATGTCCTTACCATTTATAACCATTCCTAAGATTCTACATGTTTTAAAAGTCATTGGAAAAAATTTTGTGAGCCTTAAACTACCAGTTAAAAGTTTGTCAATATAGGAATCAAAAATCTTCTTTACAAAATTATTTTCTTTACAAATACCTCAAATAAGAATGTCATAATTTTTTTTGACTTCGGGAAACACAATTCATACTTCATTTTTGTTGTATTTTTTAAATAAAATAATGAATAATTTTTAAAAATATCTATCAATATGCTTTGCTTTATCTCTTTGTTGGATTATAGAATTTGTTTTAAATCCAAATCCCCTAGGGTGCCTGGGTGGCTCAGTCCACTAAGCATGGAACTCTTCACCTTGGCTCAGGGCATGATCTCAGGGTTGTGAGACCAAGCCCTGTGTTGGGCTCTGTGGGGGTGTGGAGCCTGCATAAGATTCTCTCTCTCTCTCTCTTCTAAAATAATTAATTAATTAATTAATTAATTAATTAATTAAATTTAAAAAATTCCAAATCCCCTTCATTGAAAGGCAGAGATGAGGAACTGGAACCAGGCTGGGTTCTCAAGAGGTTAAAGGGGTTCAAAGGCAGGATGGGAGAGGCCATAACAGGGAGACAAAGGTAATCCAAGAGATAGTATGAGATTAAAACTATCAAAATACAGGAAGACACTATATAACTAAGGATATATTTCAAAGAAACAGGGAAATGTTATGATTCCTGCATAAAATGTCATTGAGGGAATACAGAAAGCCAGGAGAAAAGTGAGTGTAAAAGCCCTAAAATTGCATGCTTAAATGAGAAGCATTCCTCTGTGCTGAAAACGCAGTGTACTATAAAATCAGGTTAACAAGAACATTTTTTTAATCATGTGTATTTTATTAACTACCCTTCCTCTTGCCACACGTTAATTTACTCTGATCTTCAATAGAAAAAAAGTGCAGTTTTCAGTTTTACCCCTACACCTATCCACAGCCAAATGAAACCATATGTACGATTTCCTTAATTCCTACAACTCTTCAGTCACTAAATTATGACCAATGTTTTTCATCATATTTTCAAATACCATAATTCAGAGTCTCAGCATCTTTTAATTCAGCATCTGAAGTGCACTCCCAACTTGTCTCCCCACCTGTGAGTGGGGAGTTAGCTTGAACGCATACCATCACACAGCCACCATATTGATTAGTATAAAATACAAGTTTGACAATTCTACTCTCTTCCTAGAACCTGATCATGCTCTCTCATCCCCTGCAAGAAAAAGTCCAACTTACTTGACGTGTCATATGAGATGCTCCATGCCCTGCCTTCATCTTTATTTTTTTTCATTAATACTTCATCAACAGGGAATTGTTCATAAGTTTCTGGGGAAAAGAAGAGTGCCATTCATTGCCTCATTGCTTTTCCTCATGCTACTCCCTCTGTCTTCACTCCTCTCTGTTCAGCTTATATTCCACTTCCCATTAAGCACTCTTAACACACATGAACTTCTTCATAAATTTTCCCTGACCATTCTGTCTCTCACATTGTATTTACTATTTGTCAGTTTATTGTTTATCTCTTTTAAGACTATGAGCTTCTTGAGGCTAGAGACTATGCCTTGATCTTTATATTTTTATTCACAGGTTATAGTAGGAACTCAGTAAGTATTTACTGAGTGAATGGCCTTTAACAGAATTATGAATGAAAAACAGAGTAAGTTGTGACTACTTAATAAAGTTAAAGATTTTGTAAGTGGAATCATTAAATGCTCAGACACTTAACACCTTAGAAGGTGAAAACAATGTTCTCTATTTGTTCCTTGCATTTCAGCCTTTGCTCGTCTGGCATCAGAATCATGCAAAAGCCTACACTTAATATTATATCAAGTTAACAAGACATTATTAGAAGGGTAACAAGATAAGTAGTATAAGAAAGAAAGAAAATACATAGCAGAGAGATAACAGGAGTCATTATTTAAATGAAGCTTGAACCTAAAAAAGCCAGATATTTTCTGAAGAAAAGTTCAATAAAAACAAGAAATATATCTTGCTCCCTATTAAATTGGAGTATTATGTACTTACTGTAGTAAAGTCATAGTGGTAGATCCCAAGAAATCTTTTTAACTTAGAAGTTAAGGCATCAACTTGGCAAAGGCATATTTTGGTCAGTGTTGTGCTGCTAGAAAGTATCTAGAAAGTATCTAGTGTATCTAGAAAGTACCTGGTGCAGAGAAGACATTTAGTGACTAATACCATAAATGCCAAACAAGTGAATGTAGAATACTCAACATGCAGAAGGTGGATTATTTGATATTTATTTTGTGAGTAAAGGTAAAAATATAAGATATGCATGGTATACACGCACACACATGCCATATATAATTGCTAATCATATGTTCAATTTTGAGTCAACCACCATTTTATATTGCAACAAGACTTTTAATTTAAAATACTTCATTGTGTAGAAGGCCTATTTTTATGAAAATATGTAGCCTAATTTGAGATGTTACTGTATACTAAAGAGTAGTGATTTCTGCTAACACAGGTCTGGGTACTTAGGAATATACAGAACTGAAAGGTAAGTTAAATCTTCAGACTCTCAAAAACATATGAAAAAGATCTATTGTTTAAAAATATAAAATGCAATGTTAAGGAATGTGAATATTACTCTATATTCATAATAAATTAAGCCCATATTATACTTTATCCATTTATATCCCAGCTTTTTTTTTCAATGTGTCTGAATACTTTTTAATATGAAGACTCCCAAATATGTAAAATGGCAGAGGGAATTTCACTTGCATGACCTTTGAAAGCTCTTACAAGAATCTCATACAGTCCATATGCAAATTAATTCTATTAGTAGACACTATAAAGACACTACATTGAATGCACTCTTCCATTTCTATTTCTGTGGCATAAATTAGGTTTATAGTGCATACATTAATCTTTTCTTATGTTGGGGACAAATTGCTGATATGCCTTCAACAAATATCTGATTCATTCTTATTGTTCCTGTTTCTATAAAAAAGGCACCTTTTCAAAGAGGCCTTCCTGAGAAGTTTACCTAAATTAGTTCTCTTGAACTCTTTTCTCCATTCCATAAGCCTTTT